ATGGTGTTCTGAGAATTGGTGGTCGGTTGAGCAAGTCATCTATGCCTGTGGAGGCTCAACATCCCTCAATATTATCAATTATCATCATTTAAAACATTTGAAAAAGTAAAGTGATGGAGCCAGACTGACACTCTCACGTAGATCCTTGAACTTATATTTTCATTGATAGATGCTGATCAGAAAAGTCATTGTTTATGTTTGTCTGACTGACATTTTTAGTATGTATTTAGACTTTTAAAAGTCAGTCTGTATCACAGTTTTCATATTTAGACCATTAAACTGTCCAAGACCTCAGAGTTCCCATTGACCTCCAGTCATATTAGATGGAAAACAAAGCGGGACTTCTGTGAAATGTAGTACCTAGATGAGTGGCTCTGATCTGTATAATTATTATAACAGAGTAACTTTAATTGCTACAGCTCTGTCAGTGTGAGTGAGGAGGAGTGAGGTCCAAACTGACCCCAGGTCAACTGATGGTATTACAGTAAGACTCTCTAATCCTAATCCAGTTGAGACTAGAATATCCTCAGACTGCTCACACCACACAATTTAACAACTACAAAGACAGAGAGGGCCTCACCTGCAGCCATCAACCTAAAAAATACATTTACTACACCTCATATTGATTATCTAAGAATGATTTGATGATTTATGGGTGAAGATCTAGTTCTGTTTCTCCTGTTTAATATCTGTTTCTAAACTAAGAGACTGTAACATTAACAATAACAGTTCAAATCTACAACAGGAGACATTTTGTCTTCATTTGGAGTAAAAGAAGGAGAGTGTTTATCAGTATTAGTCAAAGGGAATTTGAAAATAGTGACATATTGGATAGCGGCAAAAATCCAGTGTTAGTAAGGACAGGATGTCACTGTTAAACCTCTGTGCTGTTTGTGAGGAAAGTTTATCTGTCCAGGTTTTGTTTACTACCTGTCTTCCAAGCAACTCATCTATGCCATTCGACCGGGGCATGAACACTGGAGCATGCTCAGAATGCTTAGGTCAGTTTGAGTTTGATTGAAGCATATATGTGACAGAGAAAATCTAATCTCCAACCACATTATTCAGGTATGTTAGTCCGACTGTGAGAAGCTTGTTTTCAGTAAGTCTGACAAATGTGTTGATGTGTTACAGACCATGGAGGTCTCCTCACCCTCCTGGTGTCTCACAGGGGATCATGGACAAAACACACTGTCACACTACAGAAAATAAAACCTCAATCGGGAAAATACAGATGAGTTTTTTATCATTCTGTACAGATCAGCATGACAAAGAGCTAAGTCTCGTGTTATTGTTTTGATTTTTTAAACAGCTGATTATTTCATGTTTTTTCTATATTTAAAACATATTTCTGTGAGCTGAAATACATTAGTTTCAGGACGGAGCTGAACTGAGGCAAGTTTGTCTTTATAGATTTAACATACACAGGTGTATTCATTTTAAAGGGATATTTATATGTCAATACAGGTAACTCTGTATTTGTGTTTGAAGTTTCTTTTTGGCTGCTTGTCCTCAGTTTTCCTTCTTTCCTTTTTCTTTTTTTTTTGTGCATGTTAAAATGGGTTAAAGAAAGTGTACATGAACTTTTCAGTTATTTTGCTCATAAAACCTCTCTTTAAGTTAATGTCATTTCCAAATAATTAATTGCATAAGCAAGTAAATCACCTGAAATTTTACTTTATTTAAATCAAATAAAATTAAACTTTGTTCCAGCCAGCCCTGGCCTCCCCTATATTAGCAGAATGAAAACTAACAGTATAAAGTATTTGAAATTTTTTGTCCAGTGGTGCGAGGACAACTACCTTGATTTGAATGTTTTAAAAACCAAAAACATGGTCATTGATTTTAGACGTCCTTCTTCTCACAGTGTCAGTGTCATTCGTGGTGGAAATGTGGAAATTGTCAATAGTTACAAATACCTGGGCACTGTGATTGATGAAAATTTTAAATTTGACATGAACACAGAAAGCATTGCCAAACGAGGGCAGCAAAGACCCTACCTGTTGAGGAAGTTAAACACTTTCAATGTGAGCAAAACTATTTTAAATAACTTTTATTGTTCTTTTATTGAAAGTTTACTCACATTTTCCTTTGTTTGCTGGTTTTAAGCCCTGTCAGTGAAGGACAAAAATAAACTGCAGAGCATTGTTAGAAGCTGTTCAAAAATCACAGGCGTAAAATTGCGGGACTTAAATTCTCTCTGGGAGCAGCAGGTGTTGAGTAAAGCAAAGTGTCTCCTGGCTCAACCGCTCCATCCTCTGACTCCAGGGTTTGTCCTGATGCCCTCGGGGCGCGGGATTTAGGCTCCGGCAAGGAAAACTAACCGGTTTATGAACACCTTTGTGCCCTCCGCCATTAAATTATTGAATTCTATAGGAGGCATCTTTTGATCTCGTAGTGTGTTATATTTTGTAAGGGTTCGACCTGGGTTCCACTGTGACTGAAATGGACTGACGTGATTTTATGTATGTGTGAGCTGCTCTTGAAATGCTGCAAATGAATTGCCCTTTTGGGCTCAATAAAGTTTTCTGAATCTGAATCTGAAATATGAAATATGAAAAGACCCAGAGTCTCTGATTGGTTGGAGGAAATGATCACAATGAGCTGCTTCATTGAACTCTTTCTAATATAAAGTCAGACAGCACACATCACTCATATTCATTCACAGCTCTTTGGCCCTTAGCCCGGCTCAGTCTGGGTACTGTCCCGGTACTTACCATAAAATGGAGCCGGTGCAGCGTGGGTGTCGGTCGGCACGGCAGCGGATCTGCTCGGTATGTACCGGTGAGGAAGCATGGCTGATGAAGAGGAAGAGCTGAAGGAGGTCAAAGAAAACTGAATGAAGAGGAGGAAGAGAGGGATAGATTACTCCTCCTTTAACACTCTCTCTCTCTTTTACCACACTGCTGTGATTGGCGCTAGGAGCGCGCGCTCTCGGTGAGGTCACGTCACATCAGATCTTGTCCAGCACAATAAACGTCACCTACCCAGGCGCGTTAGACCTAAAGACTAAAAAACTTTGACACTGACAGAATAAAAATCTGAGCAAATATTCAGAATTTTTCTTCGGGTTGAGATGGATTGATTTTTGTTTGGAGCACCGAACAAAGACGAACTCAGCATTAACATAAACATGGCAGCAGGAAAACATAAATATACAATATTCAACACTACAAGGTAAAAAAAAAAGAGAGACAAAAAATAGACACTTAAAATGCTATATCTATTTACAAATTTGGTGATAACTGTCATGTAATTTACTCTGGTCTAGAGTGTTTTTCCAAACAGACGCAAATTCTGGTGTCAGAGACAGAGTCTGTTCAAGAATCCACTGTAGAACTGACAAAATGAAAAACAGGAGAGTGACCTGGTCTGACTCACCTCATGGATCACACTTTCTGATGGACGGAAGGATGCCACTGACACAGGTACAGGTGGATACTTCTGACAGTCACTCTCTTTGTGTGTGTGTAAAGCTGGTCTGCTTACGAGCTGCAACTAAGCCCCTTACCCGGATGATGCTGCAGCAGCGCCACCTGCAGGCTGCAGCCCAAACACCTCTAACATATAGGGTGATGTTAACCACCGGTCAGGATCGGTCTCCTACACAGACCTGGGTGCAGTCTCTGACTAGCTCAGAGTCCATCTCACAAAGTCTGCAGAGATTCCCACTTATGGAAAGGGTGCGTAAAGGGTTTAAAAGGTCTGGCAGGGATCACTCAGCCAGTGAATGTTTTGACAGAGGGACAGACCCAAACCCTCACAGACTCAATGGAATTTGATATTTTAGGCCTCAGTGTCCACACTGACACACTCACTAAGACTGGTTTGTGCTCAAGTCCTCTTTTTTTCTGTACAGCTCAGTTTTTAAAAGTTAGCGTAGCTCACCGGGGGATACGCCGTTTGAGCTGAGCGTCATCACTGCGGCTCTCAAGCCCGCCGAATACGTACAACACTACTGCCCAAGTAGTGATCCCAGGAAGAGGAGAAAGTCCTGGAAATACTCAGAGCAATTCGGCTTAAAATTGGCATAATGACAGAAGGCAGAGTCAAGTTGTCCATAGTATATACAGTCTATGGCTCAAACCACGAGTCTGCAAGAAGTCAATTTTTCTTCAGCCATTACCAACATTTTTAGTTTACTCTGAACTTTTGACAAAGAAATGTGATACAACTTAAGTTTGTCCTCAGAGTAAAGCCCATGACCCATTTACGCAGTATACACGTTCCTATTCTAATCAATGCAGCATCGCACACAGGAGGCGTCTGTTTATCAGATCATGTAGATGAGAAATACTTCCTGGTTATAGGTTTATCATTAATACAGAACGACCCCATGGCCTGTTCCTGATCCACATGGACCACAACAAGACTTTTAGCTGCAAACTCTGTCTTAACAAGAAATAAAGTGTTGAAACAGGATTTTCAGCATCAATTAAAAGCTGCATAATACTTTATTGTCAACACTATAAGATAAAAAACGCCTAAATTAAGTACCACTTCAGCTATGCGCAAATGCCTCACCCTGCTAATGCTAGCTACAAATATTCATCCCCTCAAAAATACTTTTCCAAATGTGGATCAAAAGGCAACAAATATTCTCACATAACTGAGTAGCTGCTCCTTTTCCAAGCTGATTTATAGCTAGGGTATTGTCCAACATGGTTGTTTTTTGGTGAATGAGGGAGAGAGTTGGTCCAGGTTAGTTCTGACAAAGTTTCTGGCCTGTAGGTATCTAAAAGACTGTTTAGTAGGAAGATTATATTTCAGTTTCAGCTGAGTAAATGAAGCAAAAAATGCCAGTGATATATCAATCTGAGAAACACATAATACTTTTCATTTTTCAGATTTTTAAAGCGGCATTCTACAGTGATGGGAGGAAGCAGTGAGTTTGATAAATTGGAGCTTAAAGGGGCAATGATACGAGTCCAGATTTGTTCCTAAACTGTACCGTGACCTAACTCCTTGTGACAGTTTTGAAAGAAAACACAGAAGAAGAATGATGCTTTGCTTTCTTTATTGATGCATCATTTTAGGGTTTCATTAGCTGACCATTTGTGCATCACAGCGAGGTGTTCAAAACTCTGTAATTCTGCGGAAAGAGCCAATCCCTGGAGAGGATGCGCCCCAGTCCCCGTGCTGCCGATACTCTCCTCGCTCCAGTAGGAACTGGTGACCCCTGTAGTGCGGGAGGTCGTACAACACCCAAGCACCATCGGTCACAACGCAGGAATACGCCTCACGAAACTTGTAGGTTTCAAACACAGATGGGCAGTCGTCAGAGCACTCGACCATCTGACCGCCAAAATCTGGCCTCTCGTAAAACCTCAGTCTCCATGAGCTGCCGTACACCTTTAAGATACATAAAATACAAAGATGTTTTAATTTATACTTCACCTTCAAATGTAAGTACTTTTCATCATAAAATGTATTAATCCGCTGATAATAATGATACACCACGGTCTTGAATATTGTTATTTTCACCTTTGTTCTTGACAGTGTTTGTCTGACCTTCAATAAGGCTATAACTCATAGAAAACGTTAAGTAACAGTACATTCCTGTATCTCATGAATCATCAGTCTCCAACAAACAACTTCAGGATTTATTTAATGCTAATATATTTTAGAAACATGATACAACTTTGAAATTACTGCAGTCTAAATTTCTAAAACGTCCCGAGAGCTGAGTGTTGTCTCTTACATTTTTGACGGTGCGGCAGGACCTGATGCTGTCACTGAATGCCATCCACTGCTGGCTGTCGCTGTACTCTCCAGGACACAGGACATACTGAAAGCCTTTGTAGTTGGCCTTCTCATAGATGACCCAGACACCACTCTCCACTCGGATGGAGCCACAGCGGTTGAAGTATGACTGCAGGTCAGCGCAGTCACTGCTGCAGTTGTAGCAGCGACCCAGAAACTTCTTCTCCTCGTAGAAAGTGATCTGTGAAAAAAGAAGAAAACTTCTGCTTTACTCCATTGAACAGATTCTCTGGGTGAAATATGAGTAATCCTACAACATAACAGACAAATCTGACTGCAACATTAAAGGTAAAAAATGTTAGATTAAGGCAGGGCTCTTCTCACCTTCCCCATGGTGATGCTCTGCAGATTGGGTCTGTGCTGCTCCATCAAAGTATTTATTGATAAATAAAATGTGCAGAGTGCAGCAGCTCTTTCATACTCAAATGAGGCAGATTTACATTTCAGCAGAATTTGTGAGAGCCATTTGATTTGCTTTTGTTCCAGTTTGATGATGAGAGTGAATCAAGCAGCTGCTGGAACAGCGACAGCTCTCTGTTGCAGAAAGAGGACATTATTTCTGACAGACAATAACACTAAAAAATAAAAAAAATGCTTCCCATAGAAATCTAAAGCTGGAGCACATTTTGGGGGCAGTGACTGTGTTTTGAATGATCTTTCTGTCAGTCTAAAATTGAATTTTTAAATTAAAACAAAAGGATCAAATGATTTTTTTTTTTGAGTGTTTGTGAAATTCATTTTTACATGATAAATGCCACAGAGTTCACACATAAACCAAGCAGAGTTAACCTTCATGGTCTGTTTTAGCTTACAAACATTGCCTCTAACTGAGAATTTTTCACTGTTCACTGGCTGCTGTATTACCTCTCTGACTGCTGACATGAAGTAAAATGTAACATCTGACCAGGAGAGGTCACTTTTTGCCTGTAAGAAAGCTTTTGTGCAACAGAAAGAAAAAGTGGAAACAGTTATTTGGCTTCATCTTTATTGTTCTCTCTTATTCTTTAAAAATGCGATATTTGGTTTAACAGGAGTCTGTGATACGTCTGATGGAGCTGAACCTCGTCATGTTGTTCAAACCCATCTCTCTCAGGTTCCTGTACTCTCCTGGTCTCAGGTACAACATCCGGCCTCTGAATCCAGGCTGTTCGAACATCAGCCAGTGTCCGTCCATCACATTACAAGACTGGCAGTCCGACATGCGGAGACGATCCATCATACTGTCACAGTCATCGATCAGCTCATGCATCTGGCCTCCAAAGTTCTCCCTCTCGTAGATCCTCATCCTGAATGGGCCGCGGTGCTGAGGGAAAGAACCACAATCTTATTTGTAAAAAACTCAAATTAAAGCTGGAGAACCTTTGGATGACAGTAAACCTCAACCTTAGACCATAAACTAAACACAAACACAACAACAATACATCCATTATGTCACATTGCCATCAAATGGCAACTAGTATGGAAACACAGTTTTCTCCCACAGTACAGAGCTTTTGTAAGATTTTGAATCAAACAAAAAAACTCCAGAATCCAACCAAAGTCCACCTCTTGATCTCACTGTCAGTAAATAAATACCACCACACACCCACCATTACCCTCCACAGCAAGGAAACAAAACCACTGCTTGGCTTTTACCTGATACTCAGATTTGTTCTCTTGCTTTTGAACAGGACTGAAAGTTGCAGCATCCTACAACCATAAACTTTGAGCGAAGCACAAACACAACGACAGTATGGAGAACTTCAACCTGAACCTTAACCTTAAACCAAACACAAACACAACAACATGGAGAACCTTTTCATTAGAGTAAACCTAAACCTTGAATTTTAAACTTAACACAAACTCAACAACATCGAGAACCTTTTGTATGTAACCAAAATTCAAATTTCCAAAAAAACATCAGAGTCCAGCTGTATGTTCTAACTTACAAAATTAAAAACTAAACTAATTTCTAACAAAATAATATATAGATATATATTTCTACTAAGAATTAGTACGAGAGAGCTCTATGACTGGGTCAGACTGCCCATCAAACCTTCACCTTTATTTTGAAAATCCTGCAGAAAACAGCAAGCTCATCCTCCAAAATCAAACAAAGTCCTACAAAAATTATACCACCTTCACAACATCTACAAGAATATCAATTAACGTCTCCAAGTGATGCAAAAACCTCTTGTATTTATTTTTGTTTGCTTAGTTTACAGTTACCTGATCTCAGGTTTGACATCTGATATAATCTCCTCTAATTGAACACTTGTTTATAGTCTTGTTTCTAGTTATGTTTAATCTGATATAATCCAATTGTTTAAAATCTATGGTGTCTGTGTTTCGGCGTTGGTTGGCCTACCGTGGGGATCATGCGGCTGGACCGGATGCAGTCGCTCACACTTGTGCCCATCAGTCGCTGGTTGTCAGGGTACTCCCCCCTCCTCACCAGTACCTGGTGGCCCAAGAAGTTTGGCTTCTCGTAGACCATGAAGAGGCCGCTCTCCACCCTGCAGGAGTTACACCTGCTCAGGTGAGAGGTGAGCTCAGGGCAGTCGCTGCTGGTCTCATAGGAGCGGCCTTGGAAGTTTCTGTCCTCGTAGAATATGATCTGCAATAAAGATGAGAAGTGTAAGAAATATCTTGTGATGATTTTGACTTTTCTTGTGATGAACATATGAAGTGTTTATTACTCTTTTCTTTCCAAAAGTAAGTAAAAAGCATCCCTCACCCTCCCCATGGTCATGATATTTGGGAGCTAATCTAGGATGTACAGCTCCTACATCCACTGTTTTCCCTTTTTATACATTACACAGCCTTGGCATTTCCACATGGCTTGTGCTGAAACCTTTGAGTCATCAGTCTATATTGTGTTGGTGTGCGGCTCTATAGGATAGCAGACCTCACTGTATGTTGGAATCTGCTGCAGTTATTGTTGTTTGAATATATGGGTTTAAATGCTGGAATCCTTTCATACTGCCTCTGTTCAAGTCTCTCAACAGTGAATAAATAAGGGGATGCTGAAAATCGACTTTAAGGGAACACACATCATTTACACACAGACAAAGACTCCATCCTAAGAATTGGAAAGGAAAGAAGAATATTTGAATCTGTTTATAGTGATGAGGTTTGGCTCTGGAGTGACCTGTGGTGACCTCTATACACTTTACACCATACAATAAGAAAAATTCAGGTGTGCTGTAAAATGAATGCACACCACGTGAAGCTGGTGCTGACTCATGATGTTTCACACAAAGGTGTGACAGGTGGTCTGCGGCTCATCAACCTAATAAAAGTGCACCTGAGCTGTGTGCTGAGTGCAAAAACCAGAACCATCATCATGGGCCGGGTACAAACACATACTGGTCTCATGTTGTAAACAGCTATGTGTAGTTTTCATAGTTGACTGAGTTTTTGGTGTGATGATACAGATAAGGTTGGGAATAAAATGTTTCTGAACTTTTTACCCAGCTCACATCTTAAACTTTGTCTCTCTGTCCCTGCAGATTATTCTCTACGAGGACAGGAACTTCCAGGGTCGCTCTTATGAGTGCAGCAGCGACTGCTCTGACATTCACATGCACCTGAACCGCTGCAACTCCTGCAGGGTGGACAATGGCTGCTTTGTAGTGTACGACCGGCCAAACTTCATGGGAAACCAGGTGTTCCTAAGGAGGGGCGAGTACTCTGACCTGCAGCGTATGGGAAGCATGATGGGCATGATGGGTATATCCCTGATGGACAACATTCGCTCTTGCCGCATGATCCCCACAGTAAGAGTACCACCTGAAACACCAGGGGTATCAGGAACATAGTTCAGATCTCAGAAGAGTGAGCTCTGATAGTCTGATATGGTTTTTGTGTTTTTTTTTTAACAGCACAGGGGTCAGTTCAGGATGAGGATCTACGAGAGGGAGAACTTTGGAGGAAAGATGCAGGAGCTGATGGACGACTGTGAGTCTCTGCAGGATCGATTCCTCATGTCAGACTGTCAGTCCTGTAATGTGATGGACGGACACTGGCTGATGTTCGAGCAGCCTGGATTCAGGGGCCGGATGATGTATGTGAGACCTGGAGAGTACAGGAACCTGCGAGACATGAATCTGAGTACCATGTCAACAATCAGCTCCATCAGACGCATCATGGATATATGCTGATGTCTGTCTCTACGTCACTGGCAACCTGTGGATCAATAATTAAACTCATATTTTAAAATATCTTGTGCTCGTCAAGTATTTTTTTTTTACTTATCCAGAGTTTAAAAAGGTGTGTAGTTGAACTCTACACTGTGAGTCGAACAGATCAGATTCATGTTTTTTTTTCAGGAAACTCTTGTATTCGGTGGTTTTATCTGATAACTTTAGATTCCTGAAATATATACATTTAATCAACACACTTCCTGCTTTTTTGACTTTACACCAAAGCAAAACAGCTCATGGGCTCAACTTCACTCACTGTAATGATTTTTTTAAGAAATGGTGTCACAGTAATAACTTAAAGACACTGACAGAAACAAGATTTAAATCTTGGTTTATCTGAATGGTTCGCATGCTGGGCTTTAAGCTCTCAGATCAACCAATCAATTAATCAGTTCATTCACATATAATTAAAAATACAATACAAAACATCAAGGTAATTCTTCAAAAACTGCATCACATACTTTATACAACAACACCACGTTTTTTTTAGGACCAACAATTCATGCTCTGGTTCAGAAAAGTGATCACATTGCATGGATGTTGTTTTTATATTTTATAATAGAGAAAAACACACTACTTTTAGAGGAAAAAATGTCAAGGTGCAGTTTGTACACAAAAATATAAATTACAGTACACTGCACTGTTTGAATGTTAATATGCAGCAAACTAACAATGAGTACAGCAATGATTTTAGAGCCAGTAAAGACATTAACAGTCAAGTTTTTCTCAACCCCCAAAGAATGCACAGCATATTTATAAAAATGAAAAACATGTATTCCATCATTTATAAAAATGTTCTTTTTGTTTTAAAGGGGATTTTTTTGTTCTGTTATATTCAGAGTTTTAATCTTAGCATTGCTGTTAGGTTTCTGGGTCACTGTGATGCCTGTTGTTAGAATGATGACACAAAATGAAAAAAATAATACAACTACAGTTGTGACTGAAAGTTCTGCTCCTGCACACCTGGAAAAAAAAAAAAAAAAAAAGAGTTTTCAAGGACAGCTGAGAGACCAGATGGCTGACTCGAGCAATCTCTACCATGACTGACATTTTCAGTTAAATGATGCATAAAATGCACAGTCAGTGACCAGAACAATGCAAAGAGACTGTAAATATAAATGACGGAAAAGGGTTATCACTGCTTCTGTAAATACTGCCTCAAACTTCATGATTTCAATTTCCCTCTGGGATTAATAGAGTATCTATATCTATCTAAACTGAAAAAAGAAGTATCTCAGAGCAACAAACAGAATGGTGATGAAGTAACAGATCATCAAATTTATGATCTAAAGGAAATCATCACCGAGACCTTCTGACAATAAAGTTGGGGAATAATTGACCCAAATTCAGGTGACAAAACTTATTTTACATGGCTCATCAGAGAGGGTTCTACAGTTCTCATTCACTCATTCATAAAACACTCACCTAGTCTCACCATGTTCAGCCATCACAAAACCATTCATCAAGAGTCTGTCACACCGCACAGGGTAAAACAAAGAGAAAAAAAGGACCCAGAATGCAGAACTAAGGAACTGAAGAACTAAAGCAAAAGCGAAAAGTTAAAGTCCAACTAAAACTTACAAAGAAAATGTTCAAACAAATCCAAAAGTCCAAAAAAATGCAAGAAGCAAAAGCCAAAGAATCAAAAGGGCACTGGGAAAAAACCACAAGGAGACAACCGGGGACACAAGCCTATGCTGACATCGACACACACTGACTGACTGAGTGACAAACACTAACACACACAGAACCAACAAAGACAGAGGGGAAGAAAGGGACTATATACACACTGGGAAACAAGCAACAGGTGAGGCAGACGAGACACAGGTGAAACTCATGAGTGATTAACAAAGGATGGAAAACTAGGTAAGTGAAACCAAACTAGAAACACAAGGAATCAACTAATCCTCTACTCAGAGTTCTTGAATATGTCTCAGTCACTCGTTCATACATTCATTCAGACACTTACAAATACAGTCACACATCACATTCGAAACAGATAAAATTATCAGCACAAAATGTGTCCGGAGAGGACTTCTGTCTTATCCTCTGACCGCAAAAAGAGCTCATTATGTATCAATCACTCATTCTTTCAACATTCACACTCATCCAAAAACTTCTCCCAGTAACACATCAGTGACACATTCTCACATCCTGCAGTCATTCTTGTTACATTAAGACATTCAGAACACATTCGCTTCATCACAATCTGACATTTAAAGACAAGGGAAATAGATAATTGTGACAGCAGAGATGAAAGAAAGGATAAATTGTGGAATCATAGCAAATAACGGGCAAATAAATAACATTTTAAAAATTAAAAAACAGATTCCTAGAAGAGGGACAGAAAGACACAAAAAAGGAGTAACAGTCTCTTTTTTCCTTTTCCTTTCCTCACATCAGAATTACATAAAAAGACCATCAAAGCCCTGGTTAAAGACTGTCAGATCAAAGACTTTCAATCCAGATTGAAGACAATGACAGCCCAGATTGAAGACTCTTTTGAGTCTCGAAGGCAAGTTTATTCTTGAACTCAATCTAGAGTACAAAATAAAGACTATTGGAGCCCAGACTAAAGACTGTCAGATTACACATTAAAGACTTTCAGAGCCTAAATAGAAGACTGTTGGAGAACAGATCAAAAACAGTCGGTACGTTTACATGAGAACCTCTCAAGAAAACCAAATTATTGCCTTATTTTGATTAAGACCAGACAACTGAAACGCATGTAAACACCTTAGTCTGACTACAATCGGAGTTTGAGAATCCTGATTAGAGTCGAAAAACTCTGAATAAGACACTCAGATAATGCAAGTCTGAAGTCTGGCGCAGCAATATTTTTTGGTAGGACTGTAGGGGAAAGTCCCGCCTCCTTCACCTCTGATTGGCTGGAAAAGCTGGAAACGTCATCAGACGCTCAAGCAAAACGTGGGCTGTCAGCTCTGTACATCGAACGGAACATTACAGAACATTATTGCTCTTCTGAATCTCCTAACCCTTACCCTAACCCTAATCCTAACCCTTACCCTAACCCTAACCTTAACCCTAACCCAACAAATGACGTTTCACAGCCAAAAGGAATAACCAATCGGAGCCCAGCACTTCTAGCCAATCAGAGGCGAAGAAGGGCGGGACTTTCCCCTACCCATCTACAAAAAAAACATTGCAGCACAGACCTACTGTTGTTGTCAACAGTTGTATGTGGTTGGAAACAGCGCAGCTGAAAAGACCCACATTGCCCCCTAGTTTTGGGGAGGAGGGCACATTCACATCAATAATTCAACTTTCTCATCGTATGTATACACGGACAAGGAGAGAAGTCCAATTCGGCGATAAAACGAGTTATGAGCTTAGTCTGATTAAACCGTGCATGTAAACGCACTGAGTGAGGGCCCAGGTCGGAGTCTAGAGAGCCAGAGTCAAGGCTATCACATCTAGATCGAAGACAATCAGGGTTTTAGATAACTGACTATCAGAGCCCAGATTCAAGACTGTCTGTGTCCAGAGTCAAGACATCAAATGACCAGGAAAAAGACTAGTGGAGACCAGATCGAAGAGTGCCAGATTACAGATTAGAGATTTCTAGAGTACAGTTTAAAGTCTGCCAGAGCCCATATTCAAGACTCAGAGTACAATTTACAAACTGCCAGGATCGCACTCCCATGCATGGTTCTAACACCATCATTAAGTTTGCAGACGACACAACGGTGGTGGGCCTCATCACAGACAACAATGAGACAGCCTACAGGGAGGAGATACAGCACCTGGCGTCGTGGTGTGCCGACAACAACCTGACATTGAACACTGACAAGACCAAAGAGGTCATCGTGGACTTCAGGAGGACTAGGACTGTCACTCACGCTCCTATCTACATCGACAGAGCAGAGGTCGAACGGGTCTCCAGCTTCAAATTCCTGGGCGTACAGATCTCTGAGGACCTCTCCTGGACCCTCAACACCTCGTCCCTGGTCAAGAAGGCCCATCAGCGTTTCTTCTTTCTGAGGAGATTGAGGAAAGCCCATCTATCTCCTCAGATACTGGGGAACTTCTATCACTGTGCCATTGAGAGCATCCTCACATACTGCATCACAGTCTGGTATGGTAACTGTACTGCCTCTGACCGAAAGGCACTGCAGAGGGTGGTGAAAACTGCCCAACGCATCACTGGTACATCTCTCCCTGTCATTAAGACCATCTATGACAGTCGGTGCCTGAGGAAGGCTCACAGCATCATCAAAGACCCCTCTCGTCCCAACCACGGACTGTTTACCCTCCTCCCCTCTAGGAGAAGATACCGGAATCTAGCTTCCAAGTCAAGCAGACTCAGGAACAGTTTTTTCCCCTCCACTGTCATCTCCCTAAACTCCTCATCCACTCCTCTCCCCCCTCCAGTAATAGCCCCCCCTCCCCTTCCACCCACCCACGTTCCTGCTATATCTTAACTCATCCTGTGGACATGTGCAATATGGTCACTGGACCTGGACCTTAGTCTAGCACTTCTGTGCAATATGGGCTACGTGCAATATTATTCTGACAGTATTAAATGCATTTATTTATTATTCATCGCTATAATACACATAATTATTTATTCAATTTCTAGCACTGACATGTTTACTCTGCACTCTGGTGAGATGCGAAAATACTTTTCGCTGTACTGTACTTATACTGTACATTGACAATAAATTGAATCTCATCATCATCCAGATTAGGCTCTAAGGGTGCAGATGAAAAACTATCAGAACCCAAATTCAAGACTCTCAGAGAAAACATCAAAGAATACAGATTAGAGACTGTCAGAGGATTTGCTGACAATGCTGACAATTTGTCAAGATTGACAAGATTGACAAAAGGCTGGCTGAATGTTGGCAGGGAAGGGGTAATGTTTGGAGTTGCACATTATCAGGGATAGAGGAGTGGCTCTGTGGACTGGCCAAGCCATGTTTGGCCACTGGCTGCCAGCGTAACTCCACTCTCCGTGAACTCCACCCTCGGAGGAGCGCCTGCAACTAGGATGGGATCAACTTCCCTTCAAGAGCCGTCTTCACCAGCAGAAGGATAAGAGGTGTTACTACTGTGGCCATTTGGGACATTTATTGAGTAGCTGCCATGTCAAGGGTGCCAATCCTAAAAATAAGAAGCAATTTATGGGGAGTCAAAATGTAATTATTGATCATTCTGCCTATATTCAACCCCAAGTAAATTTTAGCTCTAATTCTGATTCACTGTTGGTAGGTGTGCCCCGAAACAAATTTCTGACTTCTGATACAGTACCGATATTGTAGCTTTCAGTAATGGCTGATACCAATATTGATCCGATATTAGCACAAATTTCTGCATGGCAAGTTTCACACTCAACTGCAATGCCTTTTTCAGACTTTAATGAAAAATACTGCCACATGGCCAACATCACTCCTACGTCTTGCTACTTTGTTAGTATCTTTGTATACACTTTTGTTGTGATCACGTGGGTTTTGCATGCTAGAAAGAAGTGCTGGAGCGGAGTCTGGAATGGACTGCTTGTGTTGGTGTACTGATATTGGAGATTTAGATGCAGTCTGCAATAATCCGGTATTTGTTCAATATTGGATGGGTGTGGCTGTCCACAAAGGACCTGCCCCCCCAGGTGTAGTCCAAGAAGCCTGCTTCAAGATTCATTGGTCCATTCCCCATCCCCAAAGTCATCAACTCCGTCACAGTGCAGCTCATAATGTCAATGCAGATTCACTCCATGTTTCATGTCAGCCATGTAAAGCCTGTCAAGTGAAGCCCATTAGTTCTTTAGTCCATGACACGAATGAAGTCTGGATTTTGGTTTAAAGACCTCCAGAGTACTGAGTCTAGATTAAACTGCAAGAATGGTCTTAATGAGAATTAAGACCATAGGAGTCCAGACTAAAGACTTTAAGGGCACATTCATACCAGGTTTACAGAGTAAACATCTAAGACTGTCAGGGGTCGAGATGGAAGACTGTGACAAGAATGAAAATTAAGTCCAGATTAAAGACTGTCAGAGCTAAAAGACTGTTGCTGTCCAAATAAAGACTCTACAAGACTCACAAAGTCCAGGTTAAAGATTCTTTAAATCCAGACTGTCATAGTCCAAATAAAAGACTCTCAGAGTTCAGAACAAACACTCTCCAATCCAGATTAAAGATTTTTAGAGTGTAGATGAAACACTATTGCAGTCCATCTTTAAGACTGTCAGAGTCCGGATCAAAGTTATAAACTGTAAAACATCTAGATTAAGGATGGCCAGTAACCAGATTGAAGACTTTTAGGGCTCTATTTTCGTGTTCGCCGGTGAGGCGACGGAGGGTGGCGGACCCCACGCAGTTGTATTTTTGTGTGGCAGAGCCCGGCGTACAGCCAGTTTGGTATTTTCGTGGACTGAGGCGCACGGAGGCGAACCGAGAGCTGCCAAGCTGGGCGTGGCAGGGGGAGGTATCGACAGAATCAGCGGGTGCAGTGACATTTTCGTGCTGTAAAGTGCGCTGAAAGCTCGCCGATTCAAACCTGGTCAGCTTTCAGCGCAGGCGGAGCGCAGCTGGTCTAGTGGTATTTTGGTAGACCGGCGGCATATCGGCATACGTCACCGCATCCTCACAGGCAGGTTTCCACAGTGTCAGGCACATTTCAGTGCAATAAATAATCATCAACAAATAATCTGAGTCAGCACATACATTTAGATCTATATCAATATATTCTGATCTAAATCTGATG